CTAGATTCTTTGTAGTATTCCAGATTCCAACCGTTCTCTTGAGCCAATCCCCTCTCCATGTCTTGGGCATGTGCTCCAAGTGGCTTGTAGAAAGCATTTGGAACCATTCTCCAGAGAATCCAGATGATATCAACAATACCCTTCCAACTCCAGGTTGTGACTATGCACTGCTGGTTGGTGAGAATATTAAAACAGCTTTTCCAAGAGCAACTTGGCAACTACCACAGTCAGAGCTCTGGAACTGCTCTTCAAGCCAACACAAGGAAACCACCCAAAATGTGTAAATGGCTTTCTGGTCACATGCATTCAGAGTCTCAGCTGTGACAGGGAAAGTCTGGACAACATTTACATTTCTAGTGATGGCAAATGCTCTTTTGCCTCTCACCTCTTGGAATATTATACAGCTATTAAAATGTTTACAAAGAGCATGTAACGGGCTGGAGAGATGGCTCAGAGGTTAAGAGCACTGACTGCTCTTCCAGAGGTCCTGAGTTCAATTCCCAGCAACCACATGGTGGCTTACAACCATCCGTAATGAGATCTGATGCCTTCTCCTGGCTTGCAGACATACAGAGGCAGCATATTGTATTCATAATAAATAAATAAATAAATAAATAAATAAATAAATAAATAAATAAAAACAAAGAGCATGTAACAAACTAGAATACTTAGGTTTGAATTACAAATCAAAAATAGGTGTATACCGTTTAATGTAACTATAATAATATATGGTAAATAATATATGCATGGACTAAATTTCACTAGGAGAAATACAAAAAATTATAATGAGATATCACTCCACACCATCAGATCAACAGAATTTAAGGTCTAAAAAATCAGGTGTTGGTAAATATGTGAAATAATGGGGTTTACAACCATAATTTAACAATATCTGCTAATATTGAAGAAATTATTTTCTGAATAGGTTCCAAAGAAACTTTCTATAAATACATAAAGAGAAAACCATGGAAGTTTTTTTTAGTTTGTAATGCTGAACCACGAAAACTTATTGATGAACTCAGTTAATGGATTTGTTTGGTTGGTTGGTTAGTTTCTTGGTTTGTCCAGACTGGGTTTCTCTGTGCAACAGCTCTGACTGTCCTGGAATTAGCTATATAGATCAGGCTGGCCTCAAACTCACAGAGATCCACCTGCCTCTCCCTCCCAAGTGCTGGGATTAAAGGCGTGTGCCACCACCACCTGGAAATGATTAAGTTTTACTGATAAAAAATGGATAAATGGTAGCCATTCAAATGAATACTACTCAGCAGTAAAAATAGATAAAGAAGAACCATAGCAACATGGCTAAATCCAACCAATATAACATTGAACATTATATGAAGATTGCAGAAAAATAGGTATATAAACCATGAAAATAGGCAAAGAAATGCCTTGCGATACTTGGTAATCAACACGCAGCACTTAATAAGAGAAGTAAGAATGAAAGCCTCACCTACAGGCATCTCTCTGAGAGAGCTAGGAGACAGAACAAGAACACCCAGAGTTCCAGGCACACACACAAGCATTTCATTTCTTAGACAGAACACTGGGTACCTGGATGCTTGCTGCCTTATTCCTCACACATCTTGGTTTATCTTTGGTAATTCATCATGATTCAAAATACACAGCAAACAAAAACATGGAAAATAACTAACTGTATCTAACAGCATGGTGTCTTCATCTTTTTTTTTTTTTTTTTTTTTTGGTTTTTACGAGACAGGGTTTCTCTGTATTGTTTTGGAGGCTATCAGTCCAGCCCGGCCTCAAACTCACAGAGATCCGCCTGCCTCTGCCTCCTGAGTGCTGGGATTAAAGGCGTGCGCCACCACTGCCCAGCGTGGTGTCTTCATCTTAACAAGGATAGAGATAAGACTTCCCTCTTTCCATATTTTAGCAGTTGCTAAGCATGTAGCATATCAATATTTATTTGTTTGTTTTATTCCTATTTACAGATGAGAACTTAGCAGAACTGTGAGTTACAGAGGCCATGGCCTAAGTGAAGACTAAAGGACCATTCTTCTTTTTTATTATTAACCCTGAATGATGATGAGTCCTTTTCCTCTAAAAAACTGATGTTCTCCTGTAGGTTTTGAGCCCCTTGGAGGACCTCCAGAAGTTTCTTTCTTTTTTTTCTTTTTTTTTTTGTTTTTTTTTTTGTTTGTTTGTTTTTCGAGACAAGGTTTCTCTGTATTGTTTTGGAGGCTATCCTGGAACTCACTCTGTAGACCAGGCTGGCCTTGAACTCACAGAGATCCGTCTGCCTCTGCCTCCTGAGTGCTGGGATTAAAGGCATGCGCCACCAACGCCCGGCTCCAGAAGTTTCTGAGAGCTTGCTTCAGTCAACCAATCATGACGGTCTGCAGGCTACAATCCTGTGTCCTCCTCGGCCCCAACTACAAGTCCATTTGGTTTCTACCCTTTTGTGCCCAGTCCTTCCAAAACTCCACAGTCTGTCCCTGCCCTGAGACAGAGACCAATGGACCGGTACACACAGGTTCTCCCCAGCAGTGCTCTGCAGTGGGTGCCAATGGTGAAAGCACTCCAGCATTTCCCCCTACATCTTAGGAGCTAGCCTCCACTTTTTCCTATTTTTTTTTTGAGGCAATGTCTAGATCAGTGGTTCTCAACCTTCCTAATGCTGTGATCCTTTAATACAGTTCCTCACACTGGGGAAACCCCAAACATTATTTTTGTTGCTATGTCATAACTGTAATTTTGCTACTATTGTGAATCATAATGTAAATTTCTGTGTTTTCCAATAGTCTTAGGCAACCTCTGCAAAAGGGTCCTTAGACCTGGGGGTCATGACCCACAGGTTGAGAACTGCTTCTAAAGTTTATGCATTGCAGGAATCTTTCTGAAATTAGCACTCTGACACCAATGAGAGTGAAGGAGAGGAAATATTACTAGGGGACCAAAGCCAGGATAGCACTTGAAAAGCATGGCTCTTGGGTCCAGTTGGCATTCTCATATTATATTCTAAAAACCACAAGATGGAGTGGGCAAATAAGCGAAATTTTACAGAAATGCGCATGGCAGTCAGCAGGTTGCTAAGGGCAATGACCCGTTGTTTTAGCTATTTCTCTATGTCATTCTGTTCCAGGTGGCAAGTGAAACCATGCTTGGCAAGTAGACAGCACAGGTAGTGCTTAAGTAGCCACTAGACAAATCAATAAGGCAGCATCTAATATTTGGTCTTTTCTACATTATTCTACTTTACGCCCAGGCATCTAAACTGATGCACCAGCCAGTTCCATGGATCCTTCTGTCTCTAGTTCCCCAACACTGGGATGTGTACCATGGAACCTGACTTTTTACCCATCAGGATCTGGATTTCCAAATTCAAGTTCTCGAACTTACACAGCAAGTGTGATACCGGATGAGTCATGGTTAAAACCAAGAATATGGGCCAGCAATATGGCTTAGCAATTAGGACTACTTAATGCCAAAACTGAACACCTGGGTGAAATCCCCAGAATCCATTGGTAGAAGGAGAGAATTGATTCCCACAAGTGTTGTGGAATATTACTTTAACTATATAAAGATGATGTGTTACATTTGTTTATGCTGCATTTGTTTAGCTATGTAAAGATGTGTTGCATTTGTTTTACATTGCCTGCCTAAGGCTCCTGATTTGTCTAATAAAAAGCTGAAAGGTCAATAGGTAGGCAGTAGATAGATAGGTGAGGCTGGCAGGCAGAGAGAATAAGTAGGCGAAGGATCTAGGCTTGACAGGGAGAACCAGGGAGAAAAAGGAAGTGCCCAGAGCTAGCCAACTAGGCAGCTGCCAGACAAACAGATATGGAGGAAACAGGATAGTGGGCACACAGAATGAAAGGTTAAAAAACTCTGAGGCAAAATGTAGATGAAGGTTAAAATAAGCTATAAGAGTTGGTGGGACAAGCTTAAACTAAGGCCAACCATTCATAACTAATAATGAGTCTCCATGTCATGATTTGGGGGCTGGCAGTCCAAGAGAGCCTGCTATATGCAAATTGGCTTCTGACATCATACACATATGCATATAAACAAATAAATTCATAGATAGGTAAATTTTAAATAGACAAAAATGTATGCTATCATAGTGTCTGTTATCTTTTTAATTTTTTCTTAGAATAAAAATCACAGGTTCTTATATATAATTCACAAATTGCTCAGTTTCCTGGGCCTGGGGCCAATGGGAAGCATTCTTGAGATGGTGGAATTTTGGTGTTAAGCCAGGACAATCTCAAGAAAAATGTTTCAAGTTAGTCACCCTAAAACACATAGAAAGATGGCAGGTGGCAGATAAAACATATAGGTAGATAGATAATATGCAGATAGATATAGAGATTATCTACAGTAATTGATTGATGATAGTTATGTTAGATAAATAGATAATTGATAGGAAGATAGAAGTAAATAAATAGATGGCTAGTTTATAGAAAGGCAGATATAATAAGCAGATACAAATAGTAGATAGATACATAACAAAGCAATAGATATAGAAACAGATACATACTAAGATAGATAGATAGATAGATAGACAGACAGACAGACTTTATAATCTGGTATGTATATAGTGGGCATTGCACAATAAAGTTGGGATTGTTACTGTGGCTTCTGTTATTTTTAATGAAAGCAGCACAAATTCAACTTAGTCACCAAGTATACTATTTCCCTATCCCATTCTTTGAGTCAAAATAGTGTATGTTCTGCATTCTACATGCCAGCCAGAATGGTTTCAGCTGAGTCAACTTAAGATGAATTCCGCCTCTCTTGAGAGTGGGGTAGAACAGATATTTCATGAGATTCATTAATCTTCTTTTAACTAATGAGGTGTGGAATAAATTTCCTAAGAATGATCAGCATTCATTCACTTATTCAACTAACACTTCCCAAGCACCTACTAATATAGGACTATTCAGTATCTTCTCTATCAATGGAAGCATGGTAAGCTCCCCCAAATATCACTTTCTCCCTGTCCTAAAACAATAGAGACTGGGGTACACAGTACAGACCTGGGCAGTGAGGCAGGATGGAATGGCGGCAACAGAGGTGGTTTCAGCAGAACTGTGGCTCAAGTGACCTAAAAGACAGAGATCTTGAGTGAGGATATGCTTAGAAAATATCTTATGAAATCTCCATGGGGCCCACCATCGGGAATCCCTCCACATGCTGAGAACTACATGGATTTGAGTTATCACAACTGACGGTCACTTAGCTGTGTTTATTTTTGCCAAATTCTAATCGAGACCCTGGGCTACTTGTTTGTAAGGACTGCATCAGAAATGAATTCAAACAGGCTGAGTGGAGGACAATGATTCCTGCGGATGAAACTCTCTCCCACCTACACAGCATGCTTCCCTCTGCCATTCCACAGTGCCCTCTGCCAGGTGATCCCCACGCTGAAGGCATGCAAACACACCATAAAGATGGCAAGGGTTACTTGTCTGCATTTTATTTCTGGTCTACAGAAAAGAAAGCCGAGATGTTCACCATACGGCCATGAGCATGTTTTTCTTGGGGAGGAGGGGGCGGGGGAGATCAATCTAGGTACCAAGCCACAGGTACATGGGTGTTTCCAATAAATCGTTTTTACTTGAGTCCAAGCAGTGAAAAAAAAGCAAAACTAAAACAAATGTGACTCAGCTAAGATGTAAAGACAGCTTTTACTGATTTTGTACTCAATTGCCAAATGCTACAAGAACAATAGACAATAAAAACAGGAATATAATGTGTTTAGATCAGGAAAATCTGTGCTACAATGAAAAAATGTCTACAACTTTTTTTACAGCAGTAAATTAAATACTGTGTTGAGGAAGGCCAATATACTCAAATTCCCTCCCTGGTTTATTACTGCAAGCGTTAGGATTCCACACTGGATATCTGAAAAGACTCAGAGATGTAGAGGGAAACCGCACTTTGTAAAGAGTGGAAGAGCCTCTTGAAATATGACTTAGTTTCTTCTCCTGTTACTGTGATGACATACCCTGACAGGAGCAACTCAAGAAGGGAACATTTGCTTGAATTCAGCGTTTTAAGATACATTCCATCATGGCAGGGAAATTGAGGTGGGAACTTAAAGCAACCAGTTAAATGACCACCTGGTGTAAGCAGCCAGGAAGAAAAGAGGAACGAATGCACGCTGCTTCCGAATAACCTTTCTCCGCTTACACAGTTCAGGATCCCTGACAAGGGGATGGCATCACCCACAATGGACTGGTCTTTCCACTTCAACTCACTAAACGATGACTCCCAGAGGCATGCTCAGATGCTCCTCTCCCAGGATCAAACAAACACCTTTAAAACAATAAACAAATTCATGTCTTCTTTGGCAAAATAAACTAGATGTAATTCATTACATCACAGCACTAAACTGGCCCTAGGAAGCCTCTCCATCCTCTGGCATCTTAGGAAGAAACTAAGGGGAATAAAAGGTCTCTCTCAATTACAAATACAAAGTGGGGAATGTCTATTTCTTCTCCTGCCCCCAAGTCTCATCCCACCATCCACCTGGCCACTCGAATGTCATCTTTACCTTCTGAACGATGCTTCCACCTTGGTCCACACCATCCTCCTTCATCTAAAATTGCAGAGCTTCCCAATAGCTCCCCACCAAGTTCCACTCTTGATCCTTCACTATTTGGCGACCGAAGGCAGCCAGAGGAGTCTTTTGAGACATAAATTGTGGGTCGAGGAGATTGCTCAGAAGATTAAAGCACTTGTCAAGCCTTGTGAACTGAGATCCATTCCTGGGATCCTCATTGTGGAAGAAGAGAAGTGACTCCAACAACTCGTCCTCTGACTATCACTCCTGCACGGCACTGCACTCTCTCTCTTCTCTCTCTCTCTCTCTCTCTCTCTCTCTCTCTCTCTCTCTCTCTCTCTCTCTCTCATACAAATAAATAAATAAGCAAGCAAACAAACAAAAAAACAAGATCTCTGCAGCCCCAGGCTGGCCAACTGGCTACAAAGCTGAGAATGACCTTAAACTTCTGGTCTTACTACTTCCATCCTTCCATCTCCCTACACTGAGATCACAGATAAGCATCACTACAGTGGGGAGATGGAATCCAAGGCTTCATGCATGCATGCAAGGCAAGCACTCTACCAACTGAGCTGCTTCCCACCCAGCTTCCCATCAAATGGAGAGCACATGTGTCTCTGCCATGGCCCACAAAACCCTGCACAGCTGAGCTCTTTCCCAGCTCTCCATTTCTGCCTAGGCCACTGTGGTCTCAGCTATTGGACTTTAAGTACCAAACTAGTCCATCTTAGGAAGACACACGCATTCATTTTGAATAAATGCATCTCAACTTTGTTGAAGCCTATAGCCATGCCACCAGTCACCTGCCTTTTTAGTCACAGCAATAACTTCTAGCCCCATATTTGTATCTCATAGTGAGAGGTAGGAAACAAGTGAGCAGTGAAAACTGAAATGCATAAAGTAATTGTGATACATGGGACAATTGTATCTACTTCACCTTAAATGTAAATTCAACAGCAATGGAGCCCCAGGCTGTAATTCATCCTACAGAGCAATATTAAGTCGGCATCAGACACATGACTTGTTTGGCAGAAGTCTTAAGAACTGGAATGCTGTAAGTCTTATGTATGTTTTCATTAAATTTTTTAAGTGTTTTAAATGTCCATATCATTTAATATCTCTGAAACTGCAATATTATTCCAATTCAAGATTATATCCATGGGGAAACTGGATTTGTATTGTCATAATAGTGAAGAAGCTTTTGAAATACATCAGCCATCCATGTCACAAAGGGAGCTATCATTAATTTCTAATGTCAAATACCTAGTTAAAGATCTTTGACATAACAAACAAAACTACGAACTCAGAAACAAATGAACTGTTTCTACCAGTATGGGTCAAATTATATTTGTGCTTGAATGCTAATGATAATTTCATGGTTAGGCAGAGAGAGAGAGAGAGAGAGAGAGAGAGAGAGAGAGAGAGAGAGAGAGAGAGAGAGAGAGAGAGTCTCATGTAGCTCAGGTTGGTCTTGAACTCCAGATGAGTTTGTAGCTGAGAGTGACCTTGAACTTTGGACCATCCTGCCTTTGCTTCCCAGGTTCAGGGATTAACAGGCAGAAGCCACCATGCCATGCTGGAGACTGAATGAACCCCAGGGTTTTGTGCGTGTTGTTCAAGGACTCTACCAATACCCCCAGGACAAGATGCAACTTTCATAAGCATTTTTCTTCATTGTTTTTATTTATTGGTTAGTAATCATAAGTTTTCAAAAGAGACTTAGATTAGATTACATATAGGTGCTTAAAATACTAACCACTTATGCCTGCTTAAATTCAACAAAAAAGCCACTACACAATGACTCCTGTGGCTTCCACAGAACAGTTTTCTATCAAGACTAATTAACACTCAAAATGCGTGTGAGCAGGCACCAGCTAAATGCTCTGCCTGACAAACTCCATCCTCACCCAGTCCTCCTGAGAAGCTAAGTCTCCTGGACTGGTGCTTCACTGTCCACAGAAGTCCCTGGAATTTCACTCTTGCCCTACTGAAAGTTGTAATGTGTAGTCTTTCCACCAGCCAACGCCATTTGTTGTGGGATTCCCACCTGGATCCCGTTGCTGCTTTAGCCCCCAAATAGCACACAGGATGGTATATTAATTATGAAGCTGTTGGCGGTTTGCTTTAATTTCTTACCAGCTAGCTATGACTTAATTATTAACCCATAACTGTTAATCTGAGTATTTTCCTGTGGTCTTCTCTTACTGGAGAAAGGGTCTGGACCTCTTACTCCTCTGGCATCCTACATCATGACTGACTATGCCTCTGTTTCCCAGAAGCCTCCTCGACTCCTATTCCCACCTATCTTGCTTCCCACTATTGGCTAACAGTGCTTTATTTAATCAACCAATAGGACAACATATACACAGAAGGACTTCCCCCATCAGAAAGTGATCAATTTTATAATATAAATGTAAGTAACAACATGTTAAATTTTGGTTTCTAGCTTAAATAACTAGAATCCTACCTCTAATCAAGTTGTCTATTGTTTTCTATAACTCATTCTGCTTTTATTCTATTTCTAGACTATAATTCCAGCTGGAGTTTTCAGCTTCAAGAACACAAAGAGAAAGGAGCAAATATTTCAAGAAATAAAGTCAGTATTTTCATGTAATTTAATCCTTTGACTTTGCAGCACAACTTCTTTTTAAATCAAGAGAGACCAGGCGATGCCACTGATGTAAATGGCAGCTGGTGCCAAGCAGTACAAGTCAGCAATGACAGCCAAATGGTCTGGAACAGGAACAGGAGCAAGAGGAAGAGGTGCATGGACATATTCTTCTGCATATCTAGGAATTTTGCTGCTTATATCAAATTTAAGATGAAAAGTGTTAGTCCCAGCAGAGAGAAAATGATGCCATATGCCTCAAGGGCATGAGAATACAGGGCAGTGATGGCGCGTGCCTTTAATGCCAGCATTGGGAGGCAGAGGCAGGCAGATCTCTGTGAGTTCGAGACCAGCCTGGTTTACAAGAGCTAGTTCCAGGACAGCCTTCAAAGCCACAGAGAAACTCTGTCTGGAACCCCTCCCCCCCCCCAAAAAAAAGAGAGCAAGAGAGAATAAGTGAATCAAACTCATGTGCAAGAGAAATTTCTACAGCCGTGCCTTTTGGCCAAGATCATTCAGGGTGACCTTTCTATTGACCAGATCCCATTCTCTCAGTGAAAGCTGGAGTCTCTAACCCTTTAAACCTCCTCTGGATGCAGGCCTGCCTCAGAGAGCAGCTTTGTCAGCCTGAGTAAGCAGAGGTTTTGCTATAGGTTGGTTCTGAAGGGCATCACTCAACACAATCTGACCCAACACTGTTCCTTAATAAACATTTTTGTTGTCTTCTTTACAATCATGAAGTGAACTTCATTGTTAATGTAACTTGCAGATGTATGTATCTCACGTGACTCCAACAGTGACAGTGAGGACAAAAGCTGTCTCTTATTTAAGAATATGCACTCCTCAATGCAAATGTTCAGGCATGACAACACTGAAGACCTACTGGAGTATTTGGAAGCCTACAAAGATCAATAGTAAGTCAACCTCATTT